CCAAGGGAGGGTTAATGATCTCTCATTGTTTGATTGCAGTCTGCAACCCTGTTTGCATTCATTCTGTGCAGCGTGTTACTCCTCGTGGATGGATTTATCAAAAGAATGCCCGTCCGTGAGTATTCCCTTTGATTTTACTTCAGAATTTGTTAGTGGTTTGTGGTTCAGCTCATGTTGGAACCTGTGCTGAGTGGGGTCCTAACAGTAGTTGTCGTCCCTGTGAGTTACTTCCCATTCTCACACCGAGGATTGCATTTTGTTTTGGATCTCACATGTGACATATTTTTCTGTCCCAGTTACATGTGATCTGTGTAATTTGACAAGGGATGTAATTGAAATTGAATTCAAATTATTTTTAGTTGTTCTGCTGTTAATTTTCATTGCTTGATCCCTCATGGAAATCAATGAATATATTCTAAACGTTCAAAATCAGATGATGTCACAGGGATGGGAAAAACTGGACCCCAAATTTTTAGAACCTATTTGTGAGGAAGACATTGGAGTCCTGTGTTTGGTTTGGGCACTTTTCTTTGTAAAAGGCAGTAGAATAGGGCTGTGCCGAATATCCGACTGACCGAATACTCAACTAACCGAATATTTGATCAATTGTCATATATTTGAATATTGTATTTTGAATTTGAATATTCGAATGCAAAATTCATGAAAAGGAAGGGAACAATTTTTTTGTTTTAAATGAGAAAAATTGCATTATGGAGGCTTGTTTCAAGCAGATTCAAATGAAAAGCATCAGAAATCTTACCACAATTTAGAAAGTAAATTATTCATTAAAGGGAACAGATATTTTCAATAGGGCAAGAAGTATTGTTCATCTCTTAAATCTTGCTAAATCATGGCTGGAGATACTCCTAGATGTGAGATACTGATTATAATGCACAGTTGTGCGTGTTATTGCAACTGATTTTGTATTATGGTGTGTTCAACAATCAGCCGGTCAGTGTGACCGAATATTCGGGTATTCGATCAAACAGAAGGTCAAATATTAGCAATAGTAGATTATTCGAATTGACTCAGCCCTGTGATGAATAAAACGAGGTCTTTTCTCAAGCCATGAAAGAGAGCTTTTACCAAGTCTGACATCTTACATCTTGGCAGTGTTCCACTCAAGGCAAATGTCACCACTATTTCCAATCCACACTGTATGTGCAATTTGCTCCAAAATGTTGTATTTCTTTAACTTTACCAACAGTGTCGAGTTAAAGTAGAGAGAATAAGTCGTAACTTCATTGTCAATGGCCTTGTGGAAGCATTTGTCAAGGAGCACCCAGGTGAGTTTAAAGAAAGCTTGAGGCAAAGGAAACAGACACAAAATAAGAGCTAGGGGGACCAGCAGTGTTCTAGTCAGGATGAAATGAAAGGATCTGCCCAACTTGCTGGATGGGCGGGGGGGGGGGATTAACTGAATATTATTTGACACTTGAGGGCGCTGTTTAATATTTATTACATCAAATGTAACGGCTTTGTTTTAAGTTCCCACTACCCCCATTCAGCCTTTGTTAAAATCAATTATCAGTTTGGTGGCTGACTTGTACCCTTTTCTCTACTATACGGGGAGGGGGCTTTGCTTTGTGTGTTTGTTGTGCTGTTGCTAAGGAAAGGGGCAAATGTGTAATAAACTATGGGATATCTGATCCACGTTTCATTATTACACAATAGTATTTTACATGTGTTTGTTCTTGTTTGAGAAGCTCCATGGTACAAAATTCTATTAATATGCATCAATGAAAAATAACTACAAAACAAGCTTATCAGGCCTACACGGAACACCTCAGTTTTCATTTCATTTTGAAAAACTTCAATCTGAATAGTTTCTTGGGGTTTTAACTCAACATGTGTGATTATTTTACGTACATGTATACAAAACAGGTATGCCTACTTAAAAATTACCTTCATGAGCCTAGTCCCCTACCATCGTTTGTACTTTCTGGCTGGGTCCTAAAAAGAAAATAAGTTAACCATCATTCCAAACTTATTCTCATTATCGATATCGCATGGTTAGATGTTTGTGCCAAAAAATAAAAATACTGTGAAACCATCAGTGTAACACTGTGAAACTATTAGTGTAACACTGTGAAACCATCTGTGTAACACTGTGAAACTATTAGTGAAACACTGTGAAACCATCAGTGTAACACTGTGAAACCATCAGTGTAACACTGTGAAACTATTAGTGTAACACTGTGAAACCATCAGTGTAACACTGTGAAACTATTAGTGTAACACTAAAATGACAAATCTGATTTTGGTGATATTGCACTTGCAGAATGATGACATTTTGTTTATTTGTTTGTTTCTTCAGATCGGAAAAGAAGTGATGACGAAAAAGCTGAAATGGATGCCAAGAACAAGATTACAAGAGACATGATGGTATTGTAGTCAGACTTCTCTTCATACCCTAGTTAGTCAGACTGGATATAACAGGCCAGATCAAGTCACAATAATGGTCATTATGTGCTTAGCTTGGTCATATTTAGCCCTTGTGAGGTATTTATGAGGCCCTCTCCTCGTATCTAGCCATGTTTGTGCAGCCATGTAGGAGCAGAATTTGAATCAAAGATACATGCAGCATGTATAAAAAGCCAAAATCATTTCAATGACTGCATATAATCGGCATTTATAAGTTTTTCAAAATTGACTCAGAAATGGCATACTGTTTCATTCACGAGGTCAAGTAGTTACAGAATCTTCATACAAATGCACTTGAATAATTTATTGTAAGGATACAAGGTATGCACAGATGATTGTTACCAAGGTGGAGTTCTTCTACATACGTAGTTCTCATCATGAAGCAAGTCCATGGTCACTGCTATGGGTGCTGTCTGATAGGCCATTCTGAATCCCAGGACATTTATTAACCATGCTTTGCAATCCTCTTTATCATTTAATTGAAGTGAAAGATCGTTAACCTTGTACCCACCACATTGGCCTTACTATATCAACATGATCTCAGCCAAAGTTTTGGTCTTTTTCTATGGTATTAGGTTCTGTCTAAGAAACGTCGAGTCCGGGACTACGATGATGGTTATTCTGAAGAAGATGAGGATGATGAAGATTATGATGATGATGAAGATTATAATGATGATGGTGGCAGGAATCATGGGGAGATAGTGTTCAATATCATGCCCCCACTTGGAGGCATGTAAGTATATATCATACCTCACAAATCTCTATTGGCCTTGTGAAAGGCTTGCTCAGCAAACTGAGTTCATGGTATCATTCAGTTCAGAAGCCTGATGAAATGGACCTTATTTTGGACCCATCATTCCAAACCCCGGCTGAAGGCTTCTTTAGCTACCTGTATTGCACCTGTTATCACATAAAGAATACAAAATCCACAACTTTTGGTCACCATAACTACAAAGGTTTCTGCCAATAAAGTATGCACTGTGCATCACTTGAAGTTATGAACTGTGTGGAGACGAACTGTCATTTGTCAAACATTAAAACTACCAATCCTAGTTTTGAAATGGTAGGTCACATTTCAGTGGAAACATTTGGAGGGTTTGCAATGTTTATCTCTCTGCACGTTGTGCAGGATTCTTCTTTCAGTGATATTGGTCATTGTTTTGATGACTGTGTCTCGCAGTAGGTTTGACATTGATGCACAGCCAGCAAACCTCTTCTCTAGATATCCAGTTTCTATCTGCATACAGATATAGTGAAACACTTGTGTCTTTGGATGATTTTGTTTATTCTTGGTGGATGACTTTGTGTCTCTCTGTAGGTTCGGCATTGGTGCACCTCAAGTAAACCTTTTTCCTGGCCGTCCAGCTTCTATTTGTATACAATGCCCAGGCTACCTGGGACCAGGACCTAATGCAGGCATAACCATACATCCTCCTCTTCCAACAACATCAGCTACTTCAAGTGAGATGCGCTGACATATCCTAGCTTTGGCCTCGATATGTACAGCTTGGAGCAATAGTGAAATTTAGTTACTTACCCTTGGTTCTTGTTGGCTGATATTCCAAAACAAAAAATCTTCCTCAATACACTTTGTTGAATGAGGACATTTTGTTTAATCCGAGATGTACTGTACGTGTGATTAGAGCTTGATTTTTACATGCTTGATTGTGTAAGCTCAGGTGTGTTTGTTGGTATGTCCCATGCACAACAGCAACAGCGACGGTGTCGTCAACAAGCACAGCCACTTCTGGGGAAGCATCAACATCTGCAGTAGCTAGCACCAGTACGTCAGCTCAGCCAGCTGCAGCGGCTAGCACCAGCACATCAGCTCAGCCAGCTGCATCGGCTAGCACCAGTACATCGGCTCAGCCAGCTGCATCGGCTAGCACCAGTACATCGGCTCAGCCAGGTGCATCGGCTAGCACCAGTACATCGGCTCAGCCAGGTGCATCGGCTAGCACCAGTACATCGGCTCAGCCACAGCCACTAACAAGGAACTGTAGAGGCTATAAGCAAACCAGTACAGCTGAGATGGTACCAATGCCAGAAGTTCCACAGTTTGTGTGTCCTGATGGAGGCAATCATTTAATGTGTGGATGTTGCCGACGACAAATGCCGGATAGAAGGCAGGAATTCTTTGCCAACCCTCAGAGCCTACCCTCACAGAAGTGTAAGCTGGCTTACTCCATCACATGATCAAGTCTCATGTTGTGACCCCAACCACTGACGTTCACAGAGCTACTATTATATACCATTTTGGAAGTCAGATGTTGTCAGTAGGATGCTAATAAAGTATTGTATTCAAATTGTAGATAGACGAATTGTAGGATGGTACAATTTATTGCATTGTCAGGTTAAGAGAGGAAAACAGCAGGAGTAAACTGTACACATTATATACATGTCCACTGTGTGATATTGTTTCAGAGTGTTACTGCTGACAATACTTAATGTAGATAGAGTTACAAACAACTGTTCCAACTTCTATCTCAAATTCATGGCCACATATCATCTCAATTGATGGCTTTCTTTTTCCTTCTTTTTTGCTTTATCGTGCCATAAATGTCACCTGTGGTGATTGGCATCGGCTCATTGTCAACTTGGGCACTTGTTTCTCGAGTTACGATGGCATTTTTCATTCTCAATATTTCAGGTGATGTTTGTGGGAATTTCTTCTGTCATATGTACTGGGGATGTAACAGGATTGACTGCAATGGATGCCTCAACAAATTTCAAGGTACAGTAGTGTATTGGCAATGATGTTGGTTGATACCGCTGAGAAGTTGGGGGAATAACGGTGAAAAACATTAAAGCACAATTTCTTTTTCAAATATTCTCTTCTCCGTTTGATTTTTTTGGCAGATTTACATTTTGGAAAAAAGTGCCTTGACAGTCTTATTCTCAAAAATTCCTATGAATCAGAAATATTGAAGGTAAGAACTTGATTCTCATTCATGAATTTCATCATTCATGACCCCTCCCCTAAAGTCCTAGTTGCCAGGTGTCATTTACAGCTGTGTCCTTTCGAAGATGTGATTCTGTCAACTTAGAAATGTTACATTCCTTTGACATTTCATAAACGCATCAAAAGAGAGCTTACGACCGTGCCCAAACTCTGAGTTATTACTGTATTTTTACATATATTTCACTTTCTTGTCAATTGTTCGTTTGTTTTTTGTTACGTAGGATTACTTGCAAAGAAAGAATTTAACATGGAAAGACGTATTAGCTTCGTGTATGACCAAGTTAGATGCTGGGGAGTACATCTGTCTAGGTGAGACTCCAGACATTTGGTCAATATAACAGGCTTGGAGATATCGGGGAAGGTTGTTAGCTGATGCAGATTTTGTTAACGACTTGATAACTACCGAGGCAATTTTATCCGATATTGTGTGACTTCATTACAAGTCGCCAAGTTTAAAGAACAGTGATGATGCCATTTCTTTCAGTCCCTTCACTTGTCGTGTGATTTCACACTTTTAATTAAGTTGTGATTTTGAACCACAAAAACTTGAAACATTCTTGTATAGTGCAGGGAGATGGACATTGAAACAAGTGGTGATCCACTGCTGTGAACTATGTTTTGAATGCTATGTGCGCCTGTAAGAGTTTTTGGCTAGTGGCTATGGCTACTTCTCAAAGGGATATACATGTATCTTATTCTTAGTCATGGCCAGTTACATGTATTTTCAAGATGTGTTTTTGCGTTGGGGAGACGTAAATTAGATGACGGGTTTTTGCCTTTACCCAACGTATATATTAATAAACACTGTATGCTCAGTGGTTAAGACGTCTGCACTAGTAAGCAGGAGGTCATGGGTTCGAGTCCCACCCGAGTAAGCTTGTGCACTAGTAAGCAGGAGGTGGTGGGTTCGAGTCCCACCCGAGTAAGCTTGTGCACTAGTAAGCAGGAGGTGGTGGGTTCGAGTCCCACCCGAGCTTGTGACTTGTTGGCAAGCTCTCAGACAAGCACTGAGCATACAGTGTTTATTAATGTATATGTTGGGTAAGGGCAAAAAAGAGTTACATGTAGTTGATTAAAGCCTTGACTTACATGTCTGTAAACTACCTTGTAGTACTCTCTCATTGTATGATTTTCCCCATCAATTAACCCTAACACTCCTCAGTCCTCCAACAGGTGAAGGATTGAGCAGTGTTAGGGTTAACTATAATTTAATTAATTAGCTTCAGTGTATTATTTCTGGTGGAACTCACCTTCCTTTGTTTTCTTCACTTAATTATCACTGCCTTGTATGTGTACTTTACATTATTCCAATACAGGAGATTCACAACAGTGCACCTCCAAGAATTTAAAACGCATTGACCAATCACTGTGCGTGAAATCTGTCGACCCAATGCGCATTTGGAAATGGTTGACAGATTTCATGCTCTGTGATTGGTCAACGCATTTCAAACTCTTGGAAGTGCACTGTTGTAAATCGCTCGTACATGTATGTGTAATGGCTGGAGAGTTCAAACTAAATGTCTTTTGATTGAAGTCCCAGTCTGACGTGGTATCCACCTTGAGCAGAAGTACCCCCTCATTGGTTAGAAAGCCATTTTGCTTGTAGCAACACAACCTTAACGTGTGCATTCCATAGTCATTCATAAACCAGGGAAGTGTAATCCCAACCATAGAAGTCTCCGTTGCCAGGAAATTTTCCCCTTCCCCTGGTCCA